AACCTGCTCCCACAAAAATTCTCAGGGTTCCTTTGGTTCCAGGAGGCCCCATGTGTCCCAATGGCCCCTTGATTCCATGAGTTTCCACAGTGGCCCCTTGATCCTGTGAGCTCTGCAGTGTTCCAGGAATCCTTGGGTTCTACAAGAGCCTGCAGTTTCACAAGGACCACTTGAATCCATGAGGATCTGTAGAGTCAATGGCCCCTGGATCCTGTGAGGTTCAGAAACATCTCAGGGCTCCCTTGGTTCCATGAGGACAACAAGAAAGATGGAAAGAGACTTTGGACAAGGGCCTGCAGTGACAGGACAAGAGGCAGTGGCTTCCCATAGATAGAGGGAAGGGTTCCAGGAGATAGGAGGAGGCAATTCTTTCCTATGAGGGAGCTGAGATGCTCTGTAAGGCTCCTCCCAACCCAAAGCATTCATTCCATGATGCTGGGACTGGTGGGTGAGGTGGTGGTGGGAGCCGTCTGGGACACAGTGACAAAAAAGGAGGGAGTTTTCCATCATGGGGGAAGGAAGGAAGGAGGGAGCAGCAGAACTGACCCCTTGGACACCCGGCAGGCACGCTTTCGCTTGAGGTTGGTGATGGGCAGCTGAGTGAAGCCCCCCCAGTGCAGGAGGAAATGGTCAGTGACCTGCTCTGCCAGTGAGACCCCCACGAGTGCCTGGGCCCAGAGGGGATGAACCCCAGAATACTGAGGGGCTGCAGAAAGAGCTGGCCAAGCCACTCTCACTCCTGGCCCAGCAGTGCTGCAGAACTGCAGCAGTCCCAGCTGACTGGCAACAAGCAAATGGGATGCCCATCCACCAGCAGGCCAAGAAGGAGGATGTGGGGAGCTCCTGGCCTGTCACAGTGACCTCAGCACTGGGGAAGTCCATGCACCAGATCATCCTCAGTGCCATCCCGTGGCACGGGCAGGACAAAGAGGGGATCAGGCCCAGCCAGCGTGGGGTTGGGAAAGGCAGGTCCTGCCTGACCAACCTGCTCTCCTTCTCTGACAAAAAAAAAGAAAAACAGTAATTGAGGGAAAGGCTGGGGATGTGTCTGTGCTGACTTCAGCAAAGCCTTTGGCCCCATCTCCCACAGCATCTCCTGCACAAACTGGCTGCTCATGGCCTGGACGAGGGGACTGTTTGCTGGGGGAAAAACTGGCTGATGGCCCAGGGAGTGGTGGGGAATGGAACTAAATCCAGGTGGGGCCGGTCCCTAGTGGGGTTCCCAAGGGCTCAGGGTTGGGGCTGCTCCTGTTTAACATCGTTCTTGGTGATCTGGATGAGGTGATCAAGTGCCCCCTCAGGAAATTCTTGGATCCCATGAAGTTGGGTGTGAGTGTGGATCTGCTGCAGGGCAGGAAGGCTCTGCAGAGGGATCTGGACAGGCTGCATCAATCAGGCCAAGTGTCAAGGCCTGCACTTGGTTCCCAACAAGCCCCTGGAACGCTCCATGCTGGGGGCAGAGGGGCTTGAGAGCTGCTCAGCAGGAAGGGACTTGGGGGTGCTGCTTGACAGTGACTGGATATGAGCCAGAGTGTGCCCAGGGGGGCAAGAAGGCCAAGGGCACCCTGGCCTTTCTGGAGAACAGGGTGGCCAGCAGGACCAGGGCAATGATTTTCCCTCTGTGCTGGGCACTGGAGAGGCCCCACCTCGAGTGCTGTGTCCAGTTCTGGCCCCTGAGTGCAAAAAGGCCCTGGAGGGGCTGGAGCGTGTCCAGAGAAGGGAACGGAGCTGGGGAAGGGCCTGGAAAACAGGTGTGATGAGGAACAGCTGAGAGAACTGGGGTTCTTTAGTCTGCAGAGGAGAAGCCTTAGAGTGCACCTCTCTACAATGTGCATTACTGTCTACAACGATCCCAAACAGGATTTTTGTTAAGTGGGGGTTGGTCTCTTCTACCAAGCTTGTAGTGAAAGGAAGAAGAAATGGCCTTAAGTTGCCTTTGATGAGGGTAAGATTACATATTACAAACAACTTTTTCAACTGAAGGAGTGTTTGGACATTGGACCAAGCAACCCAGGGAGGTGGTAGCGTCTCTGGAAGTGTCCAGATGGCATCTGCATATCGCACTTTGGGATATGGTTTAGAGGTGATTATGGTGATGCTAGTTGACAGTTGGACCAAAACATCTTGAATGTCTCTTCTAACCTTGATGATTTTGTGATTCTCTGACCCGTCATCACAGTTTCCAGGTTTGTGCTCTGACAAGACCTTTTCTCAGTTGGATCCCTCAGTGGGACCCATTAACACTACATGCAAATTTAACAGTTGGAATCTCACTTTGGTTTCTCAAGAGGTTCCTGCAACTCTCCTCAGGGTCTGATGTTTAGGAACTCATCCCCAAAGCCCCAAGGCTGATGAAATGCCTGGGGCTGTTGCTGTGCTGCTGAGCTGGGCTGGGCTCCTGGCACACAGAGAGCTCCTGGCAACAGAGAACAGCTTCAAAGACACAGCTCTGCTGCTGAGCAGCTCCTCTGCACAGCCCAGCAGGGCTGAGGGCACTGCCTGCAGCACCCAGGGCACAGGAGAGAAGGCAGAGAGATGAGAGGCAGCCTGGGCTGGGAGGGGACTGAGGTCTCACTGCAGGAGAAACCTTCTTAGGATTTGAATGAAGAATTCTCTGGGTGTAGGACACTGAAACTTCCCTTCCTGCAGGGATCTCCTAAAGCTGCTTCAGAAGGGCTCTCCCAGACCCTGCAGGGCAGAGCAGGGTCCTGCCCCCCAGGGCTGTGTGTGCTGGGGCAGGGACTCTGCTGCCTGCCAGGGGCAGCTCTCAGCCCGCCCAAGGAGCTGCCACGGCCCTGCAGGGAGAAGGGCTGGGGGGAAGGAGGGAGCCCTCCTGGCAGGCCAGGGCTGGGCAGGACCCTTCAGCTGCAGGCTCAGGGCTCCTCCCAGCTTCAGCTGCACCTGCTGCCATTTGCGGGGGCCCTGCTCAGGAAGCACATCCACTGCCAACCCCTGCCCCTTGACAGCCAGCACAGGGGGTCTGGGATCTGCTCTGCAGCCCCTGCCCAGGCAGAGCTGCCCCTGGGCCCTGGGCTGGCCATGGGCTCTGGCAGCACTGGCAGGGAGCTGAGCTGGGCACAGGGAGGGGCTGCTGGCAGGAACAGCTCCTCACACACCCCCAGGCAGGCAGGGAGAGGCAGCTGCTGCCACAA